AGCCTTGTGACCTAATTTGGTAACTGCACTATGCTTCTGTAAAGAGTCTTCTCGGGATAAGCCAGATTAACTTTAAAGAAAACTTCTGAGTATCAATAAAATAGCAAAGCAAAAACTGCTAACTTGACACATATTGGAGAATTAGACTAATTTGTAACTTGCTTTCTGACAAAACTTAAAAGGTCTGGCTCTGCCACTCATGCAAAATTTATGAACAATTCTCCTACACATGAAGCTGTTTTTTTTTTTTCCCAAAAAAGATCATCTATCAAAATAGTATAACATTATTTACTTTATATCAGAGATGGTAAATAAAATGAAAAATAAATCTTTGATTTTAAAGGAACAGTAAGTTTGAACACCAGTGTAACAGACATTTGCAAATTGCTGATCTTATAAATAACTTTATTGCTACAATTTACTTGAATATAAATGTAGCTTAAAGATAGGCAAATATTAGTGGTTTTTATGGTATACACTTTAAATTATGCACAAAACAATCAGTAGGGCTAAGAAAAGGTGCATGGAGTTATTGCCTCTTGGGCTATTGACTTTTTAAATATTATTAAAAACTGATTTTAATATGGTGGATAGCTTTCTTCTGTCTTAGAAATGGTCAATATGACAATAAATAGTCACTGCATCTATTTGCGAATTGATGTCCTTGATTCATGGAATGCAATATTTAACTGATGCCACTCACAACCATAACTATCATTCAAAAATATAATGTATTGTACTTGTCATAATTAAAACCATCCTTTATAACTGGTTTCAGTAACAGAGTATTGTTATGCAGTAACAGGAAAATACTGTACTTAGATCAGGTTTGGGTTTGTGTATACAGGTATACACTTTAACTTCCTGGGCCAATTCTGACATTTCTTTCATATATGTAAAAATCAATGTGTTTTTGCTAGAAAATTACATATATTTTTTGTAGCAGAGGCCCTAGAGAATAAAATAGTGGTTGCTGCAAATTTTTATGCTACATGGTATTTGTGCAGCAATTTTTCAAACGCAATTTAAAAAAAATACACTTCAATGAATTGGAAAAAAAAAAACAGAACACAATATATAACTCAGTTTTTTTTGTAAAATATGAAAGATGATGTTATGTCGCGTAAGTTGACACCCAGCATGTCATGCTTTAAAATTGTTCACGCTTGTGGAATGATGCCAAACTACAGTACTTAAAAATCCCCATAGGTGGTGCTTTAAATACTTCTACAGGTTACACTTTTAGAGTTACAGAAGATTTCTAATGCTAGCATTATTACTCTGGCTCTGATGTTCGTGGCAATATCTCACGAGTGGTTTGCACACTGTTTACATATGTGGGTATGACCCGCGTCTGTGTTCACCACTGTGCACGAGCATGGGGCACTTTAAATTTTTACTTTATTTATTTTATTACTTTTTTATTTTTACACTGTCCCATTAATTTTTTTTCGATCACTTTTATTTTTAGCACAAGGATTATAAACATCCCTTGTGATAGAAATAAGTAGTGACAGGTCCTCTTTATGTAGAGATCTGGGGTCAATAAGACACACATCTCTCCTCTATAATGTAAAGCGATAGATAAAAAAAAAAAATATCTAATGCTTAAAAAAAATGGTCTTGTTTACAGGCAGGAACCAGAAGAGACTTAATGACATGGAGGCCATCTTTCCTTCACTCATCTCTATGCCCAGCCGTTGCAATCCTCAGATGAGTTTTCGGGCTCAACGACCTTCCAGGTAAGCCCAAGAACCACCCGAAAGTGGTGGGGGGGGGGCGCTTCCACTCCTGCCGCTCCTAAAAGTGAGTTAGTGGTGAATCTGCCTCTCAGACCACTTTTATGAGAGAGAATCATTGGCTAAAAAAAAAAACAATACCGGGGTTATGGCACATTGCTGCAGCCATAACCCCGGTATGCCACTCCCAACCAAGGGTGTATATATACTATTGCTGGTTGGGAAGTGGTTAAATGATGCATGAGTTTGAGTTTCTTTTGCTTTAAAAAAAAAAAAAATTTTTAGCCCTTTTAAGGATAAGAAAACAAGTATAGGGCTTGTTAAAGGTGCATGAAGTAATTGCCCCCTCATCTACCGTTTTGTTTTTTTTTTTCTTTAAAGGCTGATATTAAAATATATTCTTCAGTCTTGGAGAAACAGACAATATAGAAATAAATGGTCTCCTACTCTGTTTTTCTTTAGGCAATTCGCGAAAAAAAATCTTCTCAGGCAAACACGTCCCATTTTTAGCTATCAACTGAACTTTACTTTCATATAATTACAATGGTCAATCGTGAAACAGACATTTTAGAAACCTCCTAAGCATTGTGTTTATAGGGCTGTACTCAGCATGTGGGCTAAGTCACTTGAATAGGTCTACCTAATTCAGTACAAATGCCTGCATGTTTAGGATTCAGATGCTTTTCCTAAACTTGGTATGATCCAGGCAGTGCTAACGCTGGGTACACATGGTCTGAATATTGGCTGGTTCAGCAGGAACCCTGCCAACTTGTGGACCCTGTGTACAGCTGTCCTTCTGACAAAAGCTGGTCTGAGGACCAGTGTCAAGTGTCAAGCACAGAAACAAGTCAAACTAGCTTTGTGGTTTGTATGATGGGATTATGCAGCTTACACTCAGCAGAACAGGATATGTTTACAGGAACTGGCTGATATTTGGACCGTGTGTACCTAGCTTAACCCTACAGCTGCTGAATTATCTTGACTACTGTTTGCCCAATAACCTCTTATTGAAAGTATGGATAGTGTGCTATGTAATCATGTGACTATAGAGTAGTAGAATAAATACACCAAGACCATATTCACACTTGCTTGCATGGATATTAACACAATGCATATCAACGTATGGGTATATATGCAGCACACCTTTTGTAGGTAGTATGCTTTTTGTAACACTTTCTGATTATTTTGTTTCACAGGTCGAACTCTTTTGTTTAAAAACCACTTGCCTACCAGGCACTTTTACCCCCTTCCTGCCCAGAACAATTTTCAGCTTTCAGCGCTGTCGCACTTTGAATGACAATTGCGCAGCAGCAGCCATGCAACACTGTACCCAAACACATTTTTTATCATTTTTTTTAGACAGAACTTTTTTTTGGTGGTATTTAATTACTACTGGGGTTTTTATTTTTTGTTAAATAAACGAAAGACTGAAAATTAAAAAAAAAAAAGTGTTTTCTTAGTTTCTTTTATGCAATTTTGTAAATAAATAATTTTTCTCCTTCACTGATGTGCACTAATGAGGCTGCAGTGATGGGCACTGATAGGCACCACTGATGAGGAGGCACTGATGGGCATTGGCAGGCATCACTGATGGGCACTGAAAGGCAGCACTCATATATGGCACTGATAGGCGGCATTGATTGGAACTGTTAGGCGGTACTGATTGGAACTGTTAGGTGGCACTGATAGGCGGCACTGATAAGCAGCACTCGGTGGCACTGATAGGCAACACTCACTGGCACTGAAAGGCAGCTCTGATGGGCACTGATATGTAGCATTTATGTGCACTGGTAGGAACTGATATTGGCATTGATGTGAACTGATGGGCACTGGTATGTGGCATTGATGGGCACTGACAGGTGCCATTGATGGGCACTGACAGGTAGCACTGATGGGGCTACACTGATCATCATTGTAGATGTCCCCTCTGAGGAATGCCAATTACCGGCTCTCCTCTTCTCACACGATGTCAGTGTGAGGAGAGGACTGCCGATAGCTGGCATTTCCTTGTTTACATACGATCAGATGTTATTGGACACAGCTGATCACATGACAGAGCTGATATCATTGGCTTTTTACTCTAATCAGTGATCTGCTGTGTCCCAGGGACACAGCGCACCAACGATCGGTGCATGCCCCAGGGGGCGTGCTCGCTAAGTTAGAGTGGGTGGACATCATATGACGTCCTCCCATCATTTCCTTATATGGCAGGCGGGAGGCAGTTAAACAGGCCAAGAAATAAGTTTAGTCACTTATGTCAATGAGTGATTTTCAAATCGAAAGAGTCAGCGATTAGCCTACAATTAGACCCTGCTATCCCTTTTCCCTTCTCAAACCCCTTCCTGATACCTACCCACTCTTTCCCCTGGCCTCTTTCTTTACCTCTTAACCTCATTGAATCAGGGACTGCTGCAACCCACCATATAATATATCTTGCTCAAGCAATACCAACTCTCCCACATGACCTCAAGTAATCACTCAACAATTTTCTTTACTACTTTGTTTATTTTCATTTTGTATCTGTAAATATGGTTACAAATCTGTCTACTTGAAATAACAGCTGGAATGCCATGGTAAAAAATAATAACATGAAAATGAAAAAACCGTGAGTGATTATGATTTTTATTATTTGCCCGAATGTCGGCATGTAGAGCTGCCTGGTCTAGGGTTGCACCAATACCGTTTTTTTTTTTATCAAGTTCAAGTACTTGCTGACACTGATTACCAATACCTTTTGCATTGTGATTTGAGCCCATACAAAATGAATGGGCTCAAATCTCACTAGAATCGCATGTGATTTGAACAGTAATGTGGCATAATTGCTGTCCGAATCACATGCGGTTTCCCTGTGGGTGCTGTGCGATTTTAGCCATACAAAATTAATGGCTCAACTCGCATTGCAAATTGCAGGTAAACAGCATGTGATTCAGACATGCATTTGTACCACATTCCTGTTCAAATCATATGCAATTATTTGCAGTGCAATTTGAGCCCCTTCATTTTGTATGGGCTCACTGCAAAGGTGTCGTTTTCAGGTTTTGGAGCATTTGCTTAGTAGTGGTACCAATACCGGTATTGGTGCAACCCTAGCCTGATCTGTAAAGAACCACAAGTTCCAGAATACATACATGAATTGTATGATTCTCTGCACAACTGGACAAATGTGCATACCAGGGGCGGACTGACAAACTCATGGGGCCCCCGGGAATAGGGATCATGGGGCCCCTGTGTCCTTGCCCAAACTCAAAAAAGCCTATGAAAAAGGTACCAGGGGCATCTCATGGGGCCCCCTACTGACCCCGGGCCCTCGGGCAGTGCCCGAGTTTCCAAATGGTCAGTCCGCCCCTGGTGCATACATATATTCAGGCAAATAAAAAAATCTGTCATTTGCTGATTTAGTTGCATTTATAATGAAATATTTTTCTGTTTGGTCTTCCTGACATCAGATTTAGAAAAATGATCTTTGAGAAAAAGAGAGAAAATTACTGCTGTTATCCGCACATGGCTGACTGATATGCTGAAATGTGCAGCTTGTTGTCCTGACAACAATCTACTTTTGTCTAGAACTGTCTAAAAAGTCAGCAAGTCCTGATAGTAAGTGCTCTGTCATACTGGTGCCACTTGCCATGTGATGTGATAGTTTCAAATCGCATTACAAATCGCACCCTGTTGTCCGCAATTAAAGTGCTCATATCGGTGCGATTCCAACTTCGTCGGAGTTGCAGCGATTTTGAAAGTAGTGCATGCACTAGTTTTTGAAAGTTCAAGTATGACTTGCATAGACATCCTGCAAGTCACAGATGTCTTGCAAGTTGCACCTGAAGTCGAACTGACATCGGACTTTGAAATTGTGTGACTTCCAGTGAAGTCGCACGATTTCAAAGTGCATTGGTGTGACCGAAGACTAAAACTTGTATTTGTTAGTTTATTAATTATGGCAGTTTGGTGATAGTGAATAATAATGTTAGTTGTTTGGCTGTCATTCTAAACTTCTCACTTCAATACTTTTTTACATCACTGACCCAGAGTACGAAAGTGTACTCAAAACTTGGAAACATTCTGAAAACTAGTGTAGCCCTTTTTTGGGGGGAGTTGTGAGAAATTACTGTCTCCAGACAATATATTGCTCCAAACCTCTAGGTACATAAGAGAACCAAAGCCTTTGCTAAGTGGAAGAGTGGGTTTGACAATAAAATTGCAAGTGTCTCTACTCAGGACACCAGGTCAAGGGCTCGGTGAGCAGAGGGAATTCCCTTCCTGGGAAATTAACCAGTAATCTAATCAAAGTAATCGAGAGAAGAAGAACTAATGCAGCCAGCACGTAACATTAACCAAAAATTTATAGATACACACCAGTATGGGAAGAATACATGTTTTATATAATAGAAGGTTAATTACAGTACATACATTCTATGCACAGACTGGTCATATCAACAAAAGCCCCAACAGGAGTCCTGGTGAAATTTCCCACATATACCCAGGTATATATAGTTATTAATAGAGATACCACCACATGAATGTTGGATCAAAGTTCAGTTGAAGGGTCCCTGAGAATGAAAACAATGTGGCATACGACTTGGTGTTGAAGACCTGAAGACAGAATCAGGAATGATAAGGAGATCCTCTAACTGTTGTCCAACCAGTCTGGAGCATAGCTTCTCACCAACAGAAACCATGGTGTGATACTGGATCTCGGGGTCAGCCTATCTACTCTGCTTCTTAGTCCCTAGTAACCTATAAGCTGCCATGCGACTGGACCTTGAATGTCTAACATGGCTCTATCCTATTCTGTACCTAAAAAACAGGAGCTGCATATAAACTCTACTGCAATAAACAGATTCACCTACTAATGCAGTAGAAGGTGACCATTACATACGTACAATAGCACAGCCTAGCTATCTGGTATTGTGCATGTGAGATAATAACAATAGGATAGAGATTCATCTGTCACTTGGATTCAGATCAAGAAGTTATGAGCTTAAACAGCCAAAACAAAATTACTTAAAGTCACTGCTTCCAGCTTGTTTACAATACATCAGTAGCTCCTGTATGTGGACTGCAAGTCATACTGGTTCTTCCTTTCCCGAATATGTTTCCAAAGTTTTTCTATTTGTCAGTAAGGTCACCTATCATATTAAATAAAGCAATAAGGAGGCTCAAGAAGACGTGGAACAAAGCTTAAATCATATGTTTAGTCAAATATGTGTAAAAAAAAAAAGACAAAGGACAGCACTTAAATTAGTTGTTAATTGTTGTGCTGCTAGCTTCTGTCCTGGAGTCCTCTGAACCCCCTTCCAATGGAAGATTAAAGTGTTACTAAATCCACAACAGCAGAATCAGTCTGTATATGCAGTAAAGCATGCTTGATATACTCATTGTGGAACCTAAGGGGTTAATCCTCTGCATTGTGTAAAAATCCTGTTAGATCCCTGTCTTCTCTGATCCTCCCCTTCTTCCCGTGTCCCCCTCTTATCTCCTGATAAGACATATCGCGTGGAGACACTCTACACATGTTCAGTTTGGTGTGCTTTGCTAGAGAGCATTTTTTTTCTTGGGAGAGTGCATGTGATCAGCACCGTTCAGACAGAAGTCAGGGGTTTGCATCCTCCTAGAGCAGAATGAAAACTTCTCCTACAAGCTTCAAACAGTGCCCTGCTGGACACTGACAGAAGTCACAAGACTGCTCTAACTGTTGATAAGCAAAGGTATTTAGCAGTTTATATTTATTAAAACAGTTGCATTTCCATGTTCTGTGGGAGACCAGATAGAGTGATTGCAGGGTCCTGGTTTAGTAACACTTTAAGGCTGTGGGGAGTAATAAGAGACTAGGATATTTCAGAAGCACTCATCAAGAGTTTTGACTATGCCCACTCTTTCCACTCCTGCTCTCCATTCAGAGAAGCTCTACTATAGCTTCCATAAATGAAACATGATCTATGAATAAAGAAGGGGGGGGACATTTTACCTATCTACCCCTCCTCCACTCATAAATAGCTTTGGATTTCTAGAAGCTATAGTACAGCCTTTGTGAATAGAGGAGGGGGTGGAAAGTTTGGCATTCTTGATGAGTGTTTATGACAGGTTCCTCAGCATGTATTAACCCTCACAGAACCTTAAATATTATAGCTGCAGGGATGACCAATGAATTTCAGATCACAGCTAAAACAGCAGCAAGAGGGACAATTCACAATTAATTTAAGTACTGCCCTTGTGTGTATTTATTTATTTTTAGTGAACTCACTTAGGCTAGGTTTAAACTATGCAGTTTGCGTTTGATCAATTTCTGCAGTGCGTTTTGCGTTTTTTTTGCACGTTTTTGATGCGTTTATTCAATTGTTGCTTGACAGATTAAAATGCAAAACGCATAAATAAATGCACTACATGCTTTTCTGCAGCATCCCCATTGAAGTCTATAGAACCAAAAATGCAACGTTTTGCATTTAAAAAAGTCCCTGACCCTTTCCAAAAAACTTACCGGTGAAAACATGCAGATGTGAACCTGTCCCATTGGAAATCATGTTACATGGACTGCTGTGCGGTTCTGCAAAACGCAACAAAAAACGCATAGGTGTGAACCTAGACTTAGGGAATTTGTCCTAGTGCTTAGTGAATGAAGTTCTGCTGACTCCTTTCATCCAATCATGTACAAGCAAAGCTATTGTTTTTTATTTTCCTTTCCCTTGGAAAGTGAACAGCCTATTTGCCTTTAGTAAATCAACCCCATTTCCTCTCTGTACTACATTCTTCAGAACTGTGAGAGTGACTGGCATAGGGTCCCATATCTTGTACTTCCCCTGTCAATCACTATAGATGATTGGTACAAATGTATGTGCCAATGAATGCAGAGACATCGAAATTGTTTTTACATAATGTTTATATCTTAAAGTAGATATTGTTGGGATATTATAGAATACCATACCATATCATATCATATAATACAATATTGTATTATATTATATTATATTGTGAATGCTTGCAATTGTCATTTGTTTTCAGTTAAGATGCTGGTCGTATTTATCCTTAATTTCTGAAGTTGAAACATTTTATTGTTTTTTTGGAAGATAGCAAATACAAATTATTTATATTTCCCTGTATTGGGAGGTGTTTTATGTACAGTATGCTAAATATATTCTAGTAATTATAATAGTATTTATTGTGCAAAAAAAGTCCTCTTTCCATTTCTTTCTGGTTCTGTACTATATATTGCCCTATAATGTAAAGAAGAAGCAGGACATAATTGATATGATCTCATCCTTAAGTCAAAGGGGAGATTTACTAAAACTGGAGCATTCAGAATCTTGTGTAGATGTGCATGGTATCCAATCAGCTTCTAAGTTTGTTCAATTAAACTTTGACAATAAAACCTGGAAGCTGATTGGTTTCTATGCACAGTTGCAACAGATTTACTCTCCGGTTTTAGTAAACCCCTGTACTGTCTTTTTGCTTCGATCCTGCTGAGGATCAGGGTACTAGAGCATCAGTATTGTGTACAGCTTTACAAGAATAAGTTAACAACACCTTTATAAAGGATAAGCCATACCTAAGTCTTTGCAGCACTTTCTAAATCCTCCCTGTATACTATCTCATCTGTGTGTTCAGTTGACTTTGGAAAAAAAATAAAAATGTTCCATATAGAATGTGATGTCTGGACCTGCAGATATCATGGCTATTAAAGCAGTTGCCATCTCAACATCATTGTAACGCCATCATAACTGCCTCAGCCATTATGGTTTCAGGCAGGCTGCTGAACAGACATTTAAAATAAACCATGGGTTGAGGACAAAGCTTCCTTCCTTAAAGAGTATGAATGAATGCTAATTAATGTCCAAATATAACACCTTCAAATGTATTTATTACCTCTCACAGAGGTCACTGTACTACCCCTGGGAATGCCCTTAGCTGTTTTTCCCATCAGAAGGATGCCATCACTTTGCTCAGACATTGTCCAGCATCTGAATTTATTTCATAGACTGAGATGCTTGTGGAGAGATGACACAGTCATGTAAATTCTGGTGTCTGTGCAGTTCTTGGCTGTGTTCACAAATGTCGGACACAGAGCAGCCCCTGCTACAGTCTCTCACTTTGTTACTTGCAGTCTGATCATTGTGGGAGAGGAGACTTATGCCTGGTAAACACATTTTTTTTTTCGTTCAACCTAGCAGGCTGAGTGAAAAAAAATCTGAGGTCTCTGTACTAAGAAATTTTTGTACAGCGATCTCTCCACTGTGCTATTGTGTTCGGACAGGGGGACTACCCTCCCACTAGAACACACTGATCAGCGCTCATAGACATTGGCTGAAAGCGCTCATTGGATCCTGATCATCTGCTGGTTTTTCAGCATGCCATTCGACAGAAGCCAGTCATGAGATCAGCTTCTTCCGGACAAGCAGCTATAAACATGGGTCGCAAGTTGAATGGTTTCTACTGTAATGGTTGATTCTGTGCGATGCTATACTCCAGAGGTGACCCACAGCAATTAAACTAGTCCTCCTTCATAATGTAAGTTGTACCTGTTTATTTGCAGCCTTCTTTTCTGTACAGCCATTCAAAGTGGAATTTCCATAGCTTGTCTGAGCTGTCAGGAAAAAGGGTGCAGAGCTCAGTGAGGAGAGCTGATTGGAACACACAGCTCAGAGGAACAGAACTGAGGCTGTCAATCTGCTGGAAGTCCCTCTCCACCTTTTTTTTCTCTTGGTGTCAGGAAAACTTGTCAGATGTGACTCATGCTGCTAGCAGAGGAATGAAGCAACAGTCAGAAATGACACAACAAACATAATGCTCTTAATTGAGATACATACACACTATATAGGGACATGGTTTTATATTTCATGTCTGAGGTTTACAACTACAGCACTACCCCCTTAGGAGTTGCAGAAGTTTTGGGTAACCCTATAGTCCTGCACAGCCAGGCAACACACATTTTCTTCACATTAACTTGCATCCAGTAACCAGTCCTTGAGCCTTTTTTTGAAGATTTATTAGAGAATTTGAACTGGGATAGGGTTAAGGGTGTACAGGATGTGCAATTAACAACTTCCGGGAACTATACACAAGCTTCTTACACAAAATCCTTTTCTTGGAGAGCTAGACAGTTGTATCACCCCAGACCCTAGATTCTCCCAGTCCAGCAGTTTTGGGTGAATCCCTGAGCAGGGAATCCAGTGCCTATTGCTTTAAGGGAAGGCAGTCCTGGGTAGCTGCCAATTTGGTTTCCCATCAGAGTGCTCCTTCCTCTATCTGGCCCAGAGGGTGCAGGTCAACTCACTCAGTCCTTCTCCTGTGCTGCTGGTGGCTGCTACCAGGCCTTTTTGCTGGGCCGCTCCTTCCCTGTTACACAGGTGGTCCTCTCTTTGGGGGCCAGTGAAGTTCCAAGATTTCCTTCTTAAAACCTTCCTGCCTGGAGGTGAGCCCCTCTCCTTCTGGGCCCCCTCCTAGGCTTCTCCTTCCAGACTCACTTCCTCTCCATCTTCCATCTGAATTCTCCTCCTGCTGAGCAAGCTCAGTTACTCTTAAAGGCTGTCCTGGCCCTTTGCCAAGCCTGCTGTTGGATATTGGCCAGGATCCTCTAAGAGTACAGACCAGCCACTCCTTACCTCTGCCCATGGCTTCTAGATCTTCTTCAAAGTTACAGAGCAGGGGTAAGTGCAAGAGAGCTGGTCTGCAGAGCCTCTCAGCTCTGGCTGCAATTTGACCCACCTGGCTATCACACCCAGGCCATTACTCAGCTCTCCTCACTAACAAGTGAACTAGAGCTTCCCATAGCTGACTAGGAGCTGCTACACAACCACTTTAAGTAAAAGCTTCTTCCTTCCTGCAGAAGACTGATCATTGTCTTTGCCTGGCAAAGTCATTTGACTGGAGCTCAGTGACTGATTTTAATAATAATATTGAGCTCTGTTGCAAAAATTATACTGTTGCTGTATATTGTGACATGTCTGAAATTTATTAATGCAGACTTGTAAAGTAACTCAAAGGTCAATGGTGGAGCAGTGAAGATTTGTAGTGTTGGTTCCTATTTATCATAAGTCCTAGTATTAGTTGTAACCTTGCCACTACTGCTTTGTCAGAATAAAAATCAAACGAAAATGATGTATATGTTTGTTTATAAGTATATGTTTTATATAATAGTTGAAGTGAGCTGTGGGGTTACAATTTAACAAACATTTGTTTGATGAACTTATTTATTTTCACATTCATATTTTGTTTCATGAAAGCTTCATGTTCTTCCCTGAGTTATCCTTTTCTAAAATTAGTAACCTAAAGAGTCAATAAACCTTTATGTTTTTCTATGAATATTGCTATCTATTATGCGTAACGAGCATTGGTAATTTACTATTGGGTGTCTAGTGCACTCAGGGAGGGATAATTATTTATAAAATGATAACAAGTATATTGCTTTTATTGTTCCTTAAACTGCAAACCCATGAAAGAAAAGAAACATCTTGGAAAATATAATTACTATAATCATAGGATAATAGAGGAATGTCAACTGCAATTCAAGATAAATGCCCATTGACAAACAGAAATAAAACTGAACGGCAATAAACAAGCGGAATGTTTGAT